AATGAAATGAAATGTCATTTGCAGCAACATGGATGGACCTAGAGATTATCATACTAAGTGAAGTAAGTCAGATAGAGAAGGACAAATATCATATGATATCACTTATATGTGGAATCTAAAAGGTGTTACAGGGAATTCCCTGGTGGTCCAGTGGTTAGGACTCTGCACTCTCACTGCTGAGGGCCCGGGTTAGATCCCTGGTTGGGGAACTGAGATCCCACAAGCTGCACGGCACAGCCGAAAAAACAGAAGTGATACAAATGAATATGTTTACAAAACAGAAACAGATCACAGACAGAGAATAAGAATTTATGGTTACCAAAGGGGAATTGGGGGAGGGATAAATTAGGAGCTTGGGATTAGCAGACACAAACTATTGATACTATACACAAAATAGATAAACAACAAGGTCCTACTGTATAGCACAGGGAGCTATATTCAATATCTTGTAACAAACTATAATGGAAAAGAATAGGAAAAAGAATATACACATGTATAACTGAATCACTTTGCTGTACACCAGAAACTAACACAATATTGTAAATTAACAATACTTCAACAACAACAACAACAAGAAAGAAAGAAAGAAAGAAAGAAAGAAAAAAAAAGTGGCCAACTCACAAGGTTATTTTGAGGAATAATTGTTTAACACATGTATAACCCTTTGAGCATGGCCAGTCACAGAGAAAGAGCTCAATAAATATAACATTATTATTCCATTAAAAAATTCTCAATCCCATCTAACTCAATGTCCCCTTTAAAAATAATAGATAGTATGTGATGCTCACTTTATTTTCTTGTCATTAAATTCATAGAGAACATAAACTTTCTAGGTGCATTATTTAAAAGAAAATCAATATGATGCCCTTATGCTGAAATATAGGGAAGAAATAGAAAAGGAAAATCACATATAACAAAATAATGTGTATTTTAATATTCAAATGACTCTAGTAGAAGGCCTAGTGTGGTCATCAGATATTTATAACTAATGAATAATTTTAGAATAACAGAATTAAGACAATATTTAACTGAATATTGCCATCACTTCTTTTTTATATTTGGTATTTTACAATTTGGCTTAATATATTCCTATGCGAATACACACACAGGCATGCAGTATCTAACAAATGCACTGAAAAAGGTGTGTTGTTCCCACGGTACCACGCAAATGGTGGGTGAAGCAATTTTATACAATGATGAACCTTTTCTGGTAAAGTTCTGAACAGAACAAAGTACAAATTTTTCTTGATGTACACAATAATTGCATCCATGGACAATTCAAGATTACATTTTAAAAATTTAAAAATATCTTGTGTTTCTATGTAAAACCAAATTAGGTTAAAGCTCAGTTAACTGCAAACAGGTTTTTCTTACACTTGAAGATCCCACAGGACATAGGAAAAACATTCAGGATTTAGGACAATTCATTTCTTCTTTGTGAGGTGTTATCTCAAGAAAATGAGAATACCTAGTATCCCTAGTCCATGCTCACTAAAAGCCAGGAACACGCCCAATAAGGAGACAAACTACACCCTCCTCCCCAACCCCATCCAAATTTCCCCGAAGCCTTCCTGAGCGTGGCCATTTTCCTGCAGGAGACCCAGTATCATTTAGTGTCATTGCAAAATGGACCACTAGGTGGAAGCATATACCAAAGATTAAGTATTTTTGACACCTTTACAGCATTAAGAACTTGGGAGTGAACAGGGCTGGGCCTGGAGGACCTCAAATTTATCTGTAATGTTTTATATCTATCACTACAAAAAGGTGACAAAAATATTGAAAATGGGTGCGAGTAATGAACACATGAATACTTAATTTTTCTCTATCTTTACATTTAATTTTTAAAGACAAGTTCCCTTCTTAAATGATCAACAGAAATATCTGGACAGGATGTTGCTAAACCATCAATCTGCTTCCATTCACAGAAGGAGAATAAAAATTATGGCAGCTGGAGATTCCAGACTTCCATTAATGGTTAAGAATAACGTACGTCTTCGAATACTATGAGAATGTGTAGACAAGAGCAACACACCACTTTGGGAAGTGCAAGGAGATAGCACAGAGAAGGTGGGGTTTGAGTTGTCTTTAAGATCAGGTGGGAATAATACAGGTATATACGGAGAGGCAATAACAGTGATGATAGCTAACATGCTATTAAGCTTCGTAGTTGACAGTATTCTCTCACAGGTTTTAATCAAGTTCATCTCACATTGCTGCTCACCCTTTTCCAGAACTATTCAAAGTGTGGTTGGCAGCTGGTAACCATTACCTGTATTGAGAGACACTGAGACATACGGATATTGAGATAAATCATTTATAAATGTTTATAGAAATTTGACAGTTTTCTGTTGACCACAACAATAAAAAATTGGGGCTTGTGCTTTGTATGTTTTTTAAATTTCTTTTTTACTGTGTTTTACCAAAGTGTCAGTCTTCAGTGGATTGAAAACACACATAGGCACACGCCTGTGCAAGCACACACACACACACACATTTGGTCCTTATCTACCAGAAGTTTGAGAAGCACTGGCTCCAGAACACCAAAACGGCCAGAAGGCGTGAAGCCGGTGAGTAGGGCGCGCTGGAGGAGAAGCCTCACATTTAATACTTTCTACCTATGACAAGTGGGCTTATTCAATTTTATTTAATCCTCCCCCAAACCCAGTGGGATTGGTGGTATGATCCTGACTTTACAAAGAAGGGAAAAAACATAGAAAAGATAATGAACTTTCTCTAATGGAGCCAGGAGTCAAACCAAGATCTGCTGGAATTTTTAGCCCTTTGAAGATCTTGGATTAATTGCCATTTCAGCACCCTTCTCTCATCTAGCAATACCTATAGATCACACTTTATTCTGGGACCAGTTGCTCCAGAGCTCAGAGTCCTGGCATTTATGCTCACATGTCCTCAAGAGTCAGTTCACTAACATTTCCCTAAGTTAGGAAAAAGGGTCTGTCTTCTAACCCAATGGAACATGATGTGTCTCATATGTCAAAAGAAAGGTTAAAACAATAATAGCATGCCAATTCCCCATTTCCTGTTCACATCTATACACACACACACACACACACACACACACCCTTCTCATCAAGCATGAAAAATAAATTCTTCACTATCTCTCACTGGAGTAGTGGTATCAGGTATGTTACTGACTTGATTTTTTTCCCCTTATGTTAAGGTGCTTTTTTTAATAGTTTTTTTTTATCATAAACTTGTATGATAAAAGTTTTTGATCTTGAACTTTTTATCAGAAACAAACAAGAAAGTATTTTACAAAAAAATTTTTTTCATTTTTATTTTTCAGGTAAAGGAATCTGTCTGAATTCAAACCACACATGACTAGATTTAAAGGGAGAAAAACCAGAAGACAATCATAATAGTGATACGATTTACAATATGTAGATAGAGCTTTTGGATAAATCTAAATGTTGTTTGAAGAATGGATAATTAGGAATAGGTAAATCTTTCTTTTTACATTTTGCACTTTCAAAAAGCTTAAAACCATTAAATCAAAGAGAGATTTAGTGGGGCTAGGTCTGCACTTCTCTTTTCTTCATTCTGAAGGCCTATTAATAATAAAAAAATTCATTAGAGATAACTTGAGGAAAAGTGTTTTGTCTAGCATCAAAAACTCATAATGGAAAGTATCTGGCAAGAATTTCTTCTTTTTTTCCTTCTTTCTCTTCTTCGTATTAAAAGCAGTAATGATATTAAAGAGAACATCTATTGAATACATAGCATGTACTTGGAAATTTTACGTACTGTTATTTCATTTAAGCCACACAACATCCCTATAAAGTAGGAATTATTCCTGTTTTATCGATAGGAAATTGAGGCCCAGGAAAGCTAAGTAACTAGCATAAGTTTGCAAAGTTGGTAAAGGACAGAATCAGGATAGAAACTTCATTTTTGAGCTTGAAGCCCATGCAAACTTCCCGTTGCGGAGCACAGGCTCCAGACGCGCAGGCCCAGCGGCCATGGCTCACGGGCCCAGCCGCTCCGCGGCATGTGGGATCCTCCCGGACCGGGGCACGAACCCTCGTCCCCTGCATCGGCAGGCGGACCCTCAACCACTGTGCCACCAGGGAAGCCCCCCCAGGCAAACTTTTGATAGTCTATGTAATGATTACAGAATTAAAACATGAGCAACAGCTAGTTAATCTCGTTATCTCCGGGACCTCTATTTCTGTTAAACGATTTTCCTACTTTATGCAGAATTTGGATCAAGTTACCCCATATCTCCCGGCCTGCTTCCTGAGTAAAACGAGGACAATACTCATTGTATAATTTGTTGCAGTTAAAGACGGTAACAACTACCTGAAGCATCTTTAATGCAGCAGATTGTCAACAGATGATAGCCACAATTATTTTTATTTTGTAAAGGAAGAAACTGGGAATTAAGCACATTTAGTTACAAAATTATAGGTGTGGAGCTGGATCCCAGGTCTGTCTGATTCCCAGGCCAGCGTTCTTTATTGACTACACCGTAAGGTAAGTAAGCTGTCTTTGGTGAGGCGGTTGCTTTAATTTCTTAAAGTCCTGCAATGACATGTACAGCCTTCATTGTTCACTATTTAGCTGAATTACTAATTTCACTCTCTGGCAATTTGGGACACGGACATTATAATAAAAATGCCTCCACACTTGCCTAGTAACCTCCCCGCCCGTCCCCAGGATCCCACAGCATGAGCTTTGTGGGTAAAGGAAGAGGTCCACAACGAACTCGACATCAAACAGCACAATTAGTTCGGAACCGCCCCCCGCCCAGATGTTGATATTTTCCTCTCTCGCCCCGCCCCCGACCACGCGGGGCTCCAGCCACGCCCCCAAGCTGGAGTTACTGGGGCGGACTCTCGGAGCGCCTCAGCCTACCCACAAGGGATTCCCTCTCCAGCCAATCGTGTCTGAACTACGGGACGGCCCCTAACAAAGATGGCGGGGGAGGCCTCAGTGAGGGCAGGCTGATTTAATACCCGAACCCGCGGCGGACAGCGAAGACAGAGGTAGCGGCGCAGCCCCGACCATGGAGGAGGGCAACAGCGCTGGCAGCGGTGGCAGCGACAGCAGCACCAGCGGGAGTGGCGGGGCGCAGCAAAGGGAGCTGGAGCGCATGGCTGAGGTCCTGGTCACCGGAGAGCAGCTACGGTAAGATGAGGGGCAGTGCCGGGGGTGGCTAGCGGTGGCACTGCCAGTCAGTGTCCCTGGCAGTCGCGCGCGCGCCGTGGCTCGTGGCTAGCGACTCGCGCGGCGCTCCGGGACGCCTGCGGACGCGTCGACCGTCCGCGCCGCGCCCCCGCTTAGCTGCTGCAATCTGGCGCCCTGAGGACTCCGGACCGACGTGGGGCTCCCGAGGCGGACGCAGGCGGGCGCGCGGTGCTTGCTGCGCCCTCTCCCAGTTGCTGCAGCCCTGCGCCCCGCAGACGCGTTGCTGCCCACCGCGTGCGCCCTCTCTGCCCGGGCACCCGGGAGCTGCCAGGCCTCCTGGCTGACAGCTAGCTCCTCCTCCGCTCAGAGAGCGAGAGGAGCGGGTGAAGGGCCCCCGCCGGCCCCAACCCCAGCCCCTTTACTCCTAGCTAAAAGGAGCCAGACCAAATCCCCTTCACTTAAGGTTTTACTTTTGGCTTGCAAGTCTGGCTTCACTCCCCTGAGCCTCAGTATTTTCATCTGTAAAATGGGGCTGATCACGGCAACTTCCTTGAATGGTTGTGGTGGGGGCTAAACTGAGAACATTTCTGAAACACTGTACCTATCACTTAATTGGCACATACTCATCAGTCATTATTTGGGTCCGCAAGGGGGCGTGGAGGCACCTTGTCCCGCTGCCCTGCTGCCAGCTCCCCCAGCGCGCACATTTTGGGCAGCAGGGTCCATTAGCCCCCGGCTGCTGCAAGAATTGGGGCTTGATGTGTGTCACTGCGTCCAGGACAGGCAGTTACCCCCAGATTCAGGACCCCCTCCCGCTCACTTTATCATTTCCATCCCATCCTGGTCCTTCTTGGATTCATGTTTGAGAATTCTCCTTATGGTATGACCGGTTCCGCAGCTGCCCGTCTCGTGGTCATTAATCAGTTTGCCAGGGGGAAAAACCCCTTAGCTTTACAGTGGTTGAGCCAAAATTTGCATGCCGGCCCCTGTCCCATCGGAACGGTGCGCTTGCCTCTTACTTGTAGTTCTTGGCCTGAATCTCCAGGCTCATTTTGGTTTCTAAAATGCTGTTTCAGGACCCGAAGGAGAGAGACTCTTGCAACGATCCCTAAAGGTCTGGTAACCACCCTGCTTGCTGCCCTTAGATTGAGAAAGTAAATATTGGAGGTCAGAATTAATTGAGTTTAAAATTACAAGAGGCAAATTGGGCATTTCTATCCCTTGATGATTTTTTAATGTATAGTCAGAATTAAAGGGAATAAAAGCTTTTCCATCAAGAGATTTTCTAACTGAAAAAAAATCAAAATAAAGCTTTTCTGATTCACCTTGAAACACTTTAATAATTTATTTGCTCTTCAATTGGGTATGTTTCACTTCCTTTAAAATAATAAACTGAAGGGTGCCTCTGTTTGTCCAGAAAGCACTTTCTCCTTCGAGATGCTTAAATACCCTTCCTTGGTTGGGGAGGTCCCCAGAGCACTTCCCCTCCTCCCAGGCACCCCTCTGCACGGCAGCAAGTTTGAGGGCTAGGCTTAGTGTGTTGGTAAGAAGATAGAGGGCTGTCTCACACTCGGGTTGCATAGACCTGGGTTTGAATTTCTGCTCAGCCACTTTGTTGCCAAGAGTTAACATTAAGTTGTTTTGAGGAGGACTTTAAAACCAGAGTGAATCTGGGTTTGCTACTTACTAGTGTGGGACCTTGGACAAGTTACTTCACTAAGAATGATGAGTAATAATGGAGCCTACCTCTGTACTGTGATGAGGATTAATTAGATGAGTTAGTGCTTAGATCAGTGCCTGGGATATAGTATGCACCATGCCAGCCTTAGCTATTATAGTTCTGTGACTTTGGACAAATTAATTCACTTCTCTGAGCCTCTGTTTCCTCACCTGTAGAAAGGCAATGAAGATAGCACTTCATAGGGTTGTTGTGAGAGTTTTCCCCTGGGCTTCATGTATTGAAGAGCATTCAACAAATGGTTGTTGGAATTAACGAGTGTTATTGGTCTCTGCCTGTCACCACACGTGACTTCCAGCTGAGCAAGATCTTGCAGAAAAGATTGGTTGGTGGTTAAGAACACAGGCTGCCTGGGTTCTTATTCTGTCTCCACCATTTATTAGTCCTGTGACTTGCAGACAATTTACTTAACTTCTCTGTGCCTCTGTTTTACTTCTCTTGCAGGAATTTTGTGAGGATTAAATGAGGAGGTGCTACATGTAAAAGGCTTAGTAAATGTTAGTTACTTAGTTTTACTTTGGGAAACTGTCATCATTGCTTTTTAAAAATCTCTACCATCTTTGCACTGTGCTGAGTACAGAGTACATAGTAATTACTCGAATATTTGAATAACTAGTGTATGTAATTAAATATACTATTGTAAGTATAGATAATGTAATATTCAGAATTTAGGGATTTAAGTGGCCATGTATGCCACTAGCTTCTTGGTTACCGGAAGAACCTCTCATAAAGGAGTAGAGATGCAGCCTTCCTGGCTGTCACTGTCACAACATGTTTTCACATCCCTAACTGCTTTCTCACAGGCGGATTGTGGGGACTTTGTGATGTCCAGGCCTCCTGCCTCTAATTGCTATACACACACACACACACACACACACACACACACTCACTCACACACTCACAGACACACAGACAATTCCTCCTCTCTGCCTTCTCTTTCCTTTCCATTGCTTTCTGGGTCTTCAAAGATGAGGTGAATGAAGGTGGTAAGGAAAGGAGACACCAGGATTGGGATTTGAAATACAAATTCACAGGTCCAGCTCTGTGAATTTTATCAATTTAATATTTATTTATGGGTGTATATATGGATGTATGTATTTGTTTTGAACTACTTTTGCTTGGGCAAGTCAGTTAGCCACTCTGGGCCTCAGCGACTGTGCCTGCAGAATGGGAATAATAATATCGTCCCATGTAAGATCTGTGGTGTTGGAGCAAATGGGGTATAACATGGGAAGGAACTTTGTAAAATAAATCAATAAATCAAGAGTAGTTGTTGCTGTGATTATTATAAACTCCAGATGTGAAATTGGGGGTTGGCTTCGTAATCCTGACACTTTGGTAAGGGCAGCTGGTTGCATAAGGATATTAAATTGAGTAACATTTAAAAACATCTCCTGCTTTCTTCTCCAGCCTGACTACAGGATCCTTTTCCTAATCTCTTTGTGCTTTCCCTTGTCGTGAAAGATTTTACTTCCTTGCTCAATGTATCTGAGTGTTTTTGTATCTTAAAACTGCATTTGGATACCACTTCACATCCCCAGGATGGCTATAATCAAAAAGACAGATAATGAGAACTGTTGGCAAGGATGCAGGGAAATTGGAACCCTTATACACTGCTGGTGGAAAGGTAAAATGATGCAGCCACTTTGGAACTCATTCTGGTATTTCCGCAAAGACTAAACATAGAATTACCATGCGACCCAGCAGTTTTACTCCTAGGTATGTATTCAAGAGAAACAAAAACATATGTCTACGTAAAAATTTGTACACAAATTTTCACAGCAGCATTTTATATAATAGCCAAAACCAGAAACAACTCAAATGCCCACCAACTGATGAATGGGTAAATAATGTGTGGTCTATTCATACAAGGGAGTATTATTCAGCAATAAAAAGGAGTAAAGTACTGATATATGCTACAACATGGATGCACCTTGAAAACATGATACTAAGTGAAAGAAGGCAGACACAAAAAGACACATATTAGGAGGTTGGCCAAAAAGTTCGTTCGGGTTTTCCATGTTATGGAAAAACCCGAACAACTTTTTGGCCAACCCAATATGACTCCATTTATATGAAATGTCCAGAATAGGCAAATCTGTGGAGACAGAAAGTGGTTGCCAGTGGCGGTGGGGAGGGGGAATGGAGGGTGATTGTTGATGGTGTAGAGTTTCGTTTGGGGATGATGAAAATGTTCTAAACTTGATTGTAGTGATGATATCATAACTCTGTGGATATGCTTAAAAACCATTGAATTATATACAGTAAATGGGTGAATTATGTGGTGTGTGAATTATATCTCAATAAAACTACTACAAAAATGCATTTGGATGACACATTAGAGTGATGAAAGACAAAATATTAAAACTTTAAAAATAAACTTCATGCTTTCTTTTTGAATTGGCCAAAGAATGTGATGATATTTATCATTATCTTGATAACACATTACTACCACACCAGATGGGACTGATATTTTACGTATATCTTTTAATAGTATTATTCTTGATACAGCACAGAGAAGATATACCATAAATAGTCCAGAAAATTGTCTCAGAACATTCCTGATTTGAAGATAATTAACCATATAAAAATCATTCATATTAGTGAGGTTTCATACGATGACTTTTAAAATCATTATTTATTTTTATGTTTTATATATAAATCTTTTATCTTGAAATTTGTCATGCAATCATAACTGACATTCTAATTACAGCATCCAAAATCCACCTTCTGTTTCTTCTATAGATTAATCCCAGGGATACTTAGCAAGAAAGTGGTTTGTAATAGAGCATTTAAATAAAGAAGGCCAATGAATATCACTATTCTCTCTGTGGTAATGGTAGGCATGATAATAATAACAATAATACCTATATGGCATATATTACCTGCCAAAGACTCTTCCAAGTGCTTATATATATTATTAGAAATATATATATATTAATATATATTATCAAAAGCATATATATGCCTTTAAGCTTTATAAGCTACTCTGTGTGGAAGATATACTTGCTATCCTCATTTTACAGATGGGAAAACTGAGGAACGAAGTATGTAAGCTAACTGGCCATAGATTTTTCAGCCAGAAAGTGCTAGAGCTGAGAGTTCTTGCTCTTAAGCAAAATGCTAGATTACAATTTAGAGGGTTAAGAAGTGTCAGGGTAAGACCAGTGTAAAACAGAATCATACATATAAGACTATGATATTCTGGTATGAGAACTTTTGCAAACAAGCAAGTAGACAAATGATTTTTCCCTTCTGTCGG